GACACAGTAGCATTTGTGCCCATTTCTGGTTGGAATGGTGACAACATGCTGGAGCCAAGTGCTAACATGCCTTGGTTCAAGGGATGGAAGGTCACCCGTAAGGATGGCAATGCCAGAGGAACCACACTGCTTGAAGCTCTGGATTGCGTCCTGCCACCAACTCGTCCAACTGACAAGCCTCTGTGTCTGTCCCTCCAGGATGTCTACAGAATTGGTGGTGTGGGTCCTGTCCCTGTGGGCCGAGTGGAGACCGGTGTTTTCACGCTTGGCATGGTGGTCACCTTTGCTCCAGGCAACGTTACACTGAAGTGAAGCCTGTTGAAATGCACCATGAAGCTTTGAGTGAAGTTCTTCTGGGGACAACGTGGGCTTCAATGTCAAGAACGTGTCTGTCAAAGATGTTCACCGTGGCCATGTGGCTGGAGACAGCAATGACCCACCACCAATGGAAGCAGCTGGCTTCACAGCTCAGGTGATTATCCTGAGCCACACAGGCCAGATCAGTGCTGGCTATGCACCTGTGCTGGATGGTCACACAGCTCACATCGCTTGCAAATTTGCTGAGCTGAGGGAGAAGATGGATCGTCATTCTGGGAAAAAGCTGGAAGATGGCCCTAAGTTTTGAAATCTGGTGAGGCTGCCATTGTTGATATGACTCCTGGCAAGCCCATGTGTGTTGGGAGCTTCTCTGACTACCCTCCTCTGGGCCGTTTCGCTGTTTGTGACATGAGACAGACAGTTGCTGTGGGTGTCATCAAAGCAGTGGACGAAAAGGCAGCTGGAGCTGGCAATGTCACCAGGTCTGACCAGAAAGCTCAGAAGCTAAGTGAATATTATCTCCAACACTTGCCACCCCAGTCTCAATCAGTGGTGGAAGAATGGTCTCAGAACTGTGTGTCTCAATTGGCCATTTAAGTTTAATAGTAAAAGACTGGTTAATGATTACAATGCATCGTAAAACCTTCAGAAGGAAAGGAGAATGTTTTGTGGACCATTTGGTTCTTTTGTGTGTGTGGCAGTTTGTAAGTTATTAGTTTTTTAAATCAGTACTTTTTAATGGAAACAACATGACCAAAAATCTGTCACAGAATTTTGAGACCCATTAAAATAACAAAGTTTAATGAGAAAAAAACACACACAAAAACACACAAACAAATGCATACAACTCAACAAAAACAAACAATCGAATTTAAAAAAGGGCAGAGGACCTGAATAGACACTTTCCCCAAGAAGACATATAGATGGCCAACAGATATATGAAAAGATGCTCACCTTCACTAGTTATAAGGGAAATGCAAATCAAAACCACAATGAGCTCATACCTGTTAGAGGGGCTATCATCAATAAGACGAGAAATATGTTGGAGAGAATGTGGAGAAAAAGGAACCCTTGTCCACTGCTAAGGGGAATGTAAGTTTATGCAGCCTCTATGGAACACACTATGGAGGTTCCTCAAAAAATTAAGAATAGAGCTATCACATGGCCCAGCAATCCCTCATCTGGGCATCTACCCCCAAAACTTGAAAACATTTATTCCCAAAGATGTATGCACCCCTGTGTTCACTGCAGCATTATCCACAGTGGCCAAGACATGGAAACAACTAAAGTGCCCTTCAATGGATGATCGGATAAAGATGTGGCACATATGTACAGTGAAATACTACTCAGCCGTGAAAAATGATGACATACTGCCATTGTGGCAGCATGAATGGATCTTGAGAGTGCCATGCTAAGTGAAATAAGTCAGATGGAAAAGGACAAGAACCACATGATTTCACTCATGTGGGATATACAACAGCAACGAATGAACAAACTTATGGGAACAGACAACAGTATGGTGGTTACCAGGGGGGTAGGGGGTAGAAGTGGGGAAGGATGAAGAGGGTAAAAGGGGGAAAACATATGTAATGGAATGTAAATATACTTTGGGGCAGGGTGAGCATACATGCAATATACAGATGATATATTATGGAATTTTACATCTAAAAAATGTTATTAACCAATGTCACCCTAATAAATTTAATTTTTAAAAAAGATTGTTTCATTAACTCTTTAGTCTGAATGACCTTTATCCAGGTTAATTATAATGGCTATGGTAACTATCCTGGTAGAATGAAGTCTATTTACAATTTACGAAGCACTTCCACTTAGTATCTAGATCTAAATAAGATTCCAGGAGACCTGACAAAATGCAAGAGTCCTTTGGACAGGTCTCTTTTTTTCAACCCCACCTGCCCCTCCGTGTATTGGGTTGCCTGGTGCTTATGGAAGTGTCATTGCTCATACCCCAGGGGGCTTCTCTGTCACCTTCCATATCAAGGTCATGCATGACCCATCCAGCACAACTTAAGGCACAATTAGATGCTCAGCAAATATTCACTTAATGATGAAAACAGACTGAGCCCAAGAATGACAGTTGTAATCAAAAGATGTGTATCCTTGAGTTCCATCTCTGGTAGTTTATTGTGTGTGCCCTCAGGCAGGATGTGGAGTTGTTCCCCTTATGGCCAAAGTGGGGACAGTGATCTCCACCTCTGGGCTGTGAAGGGGGTTATAAGGCACTGGGCATGGACCAGGCATGCGGTCAGTAACGATCCCATGTTGTCAAGGTCACTGGACAGGTTCAAGGTCCTCAGCTCCTTATTGCCCTTCTCCACAGCCGTCTAAAACTATGCTCTGCTTAGAGGGGGTCACCAACCAGCCTTTTCCCCTCTAATCCTAAACAATGATGGCTGCAAGTGAAGGTTGGAAAACGCAGAACTTCCCTCTGCACCTGGCCTAGACCCCTGCTCTTTCAGCAATGCCCCCAGCCTTCCTGAGAACAACATATTAGTATCTTCCCAAGCCTGGCAGCCTCTTTCTGTTTCCATAAGAGATGTAGTTTCCCCTTTATAAAGGGATCAGGTGAAGGGCTGACTGAGAAGGGGGTGTGACCTGGATGTCACTCACTTGTCCAGGATGCAAGGTGGTTTCTTAAATAATCCCGTTCACAGAACTGAGCTGAGCGGGAAGGAGAAGACCTGGGCGCCAGGTTTCTTGGGAAAGTAAGTCCAGAAGCCACCAGTGGTGCAACTTCTAGGTGGGATTTGGCTGCTGTGAAGGGGAAGCAAACAAGCCCCAGACTGGAAAGAAATACACCGAGGTAAGAAACTCCAATGGGCAACATGGATCTGGATTGATTTCTCCTGCTTTGGGGCGGTGGGAGGGTTGGACCACAAGTGCCTGGCTGAAGGCAAGTGGAGTTTGAGACTTTCTTCTTATTGACATTGCAAGACAAATTACATCACACACACAGACACACACAAGTTCAGTTTAAAAAATTCTACAGTGGCCCAATTATTTCTGGCTAAAATGGAGTAGAATAAAATGCCTGCTGGTCACCTAGAATTTGTTTTGATGAAGCTTGAGCTCCATCTAAGCCTTTGAGTTTCAGAGTAAATCCCCAATATGTAAGTTTTTAAAAAAATATATTTTAATTGATTTCAGAGAGGGAGGGAGAGGGCGAGAGGGATAAAAACATCAATTATGAGAGAGAATCACTGATTGGCTGCTTCCTGCACACCCCCCACTGGGGATTGAGCCTGCAACCTGGGCATGTACACTGATAAAGAATTGAACCGTGACCTCCTGGTTCATAGGTCGACACTCAACCACTGAGCCACACCAGCTGGGTGTCAGTTCTTTATTAGATTTTTTGAAGGTGGGCCATAGGTAATTTTCCCATTGTAGTTTTTAAGGAACTGATAGTTAGGGCTGTGAAGCATCCTTCCCCATGTTATTCTCTGTTTTCCTGAATTGGTCTGATCATCCATCCATCCATCCATCCATCCATCCATCCATGCTCTTCCTAGGTTAGAAGGGATTTAGAATGACTTAGGGAGCCAAACAATAGAAGATACCAACTCAGTTTCCCCAACATTTTATTTCAAAATTGAGCTGATAAATTCTGTCTCTCAGGAACGTGCCTCATCTCCATCTGTCTGAAACATTTTATCTTCCTCTTTATGAAAACATCTCTTTATGAAACTTTAGAAAATACTAAGCGAATACTTTCCATGCCTGCTAAGTTAGTGTTTGTCCTCGGAATGATCTGGAATGTAAGCCCCTTTACAATGCACAGATGTAAATGCCCAAATCCTGACAACCCATCCACACCTCTGCACCCCCCACCAACATGCTTCCCCCCCGCCCTGAAGGAATCCTGTTGTTGAAGACCCCGCATAGCCTCATAGGCAGGAACAGAGCTTTCTCTGTGGCTGGTAACTTGTTTCTTCCATCCCTTGGCAGCCTCACCTGACATTGGGAGCCCATCGACCTTGACCATCTTCAAGGGCTGGGCATTAGAAAGATGGATGTTGCAAATGCTGACACTGAACACTGTGTCGGTGGCTGGGCAAGGGCCAGGTTTGCTCCTTGAGTAGAGTTTGAGTGAGTCACACATCGCTGCCACCCCTTTTCCACACCCCACCTCACCCCCACATCAAGGAGGCCATTCCAAACGGAGGTGTGGAAGGTTTTTCTTTCTCTAAAATACGCTAATTATACATGTAAAGCGATATGGAACAATAGAGGTATTTTTAGTGTGAAGTCATCCATTGTGTAGGAGTGCCTTTCACAAGGAAGCTGAGGCGACTGGTTTGGGCGAAGATCAGTGTTACATTGTGGTTGGAGTGGTTTCGAGGTCGTATTTTCCAATAGGCACATAGCACCTGGGAGGGTTTCTTAATACACTTCCGTTTACCCTTGAAATGAGAGCAACCTATTTCAGAAGACAAGTAACTGGTGGTTACTTTTAGGTGGTTTTTCATTTGAGCCCAAGGTGTTCTCATGTTCGCAGAATATTAGCGTTGAATGCCTTCGGAGCAATAGACGTTTGCTAACTACGTAGATAAGAACTAATGCTGAGTATATTTGATTTATAGTCATAGTGAAGTTTTAGAAGCTTAGTTGATACCTTCATTCCGAGATGAGAAACGATACGAACAGCCGTGAGTGCTTATGTTGCAGTGGGCACTGTGCCATATTATACAAACATCGTCTCATTTAATCCTCATTTCAGACTTGAGGCAGTTTGTCAGTTAAGAATTGCACACAACTGACTGTCGGAGTGCAGTGTTTATCATTCATCACAGCCAGTTGGTCACAGCTGTCCTTGTTCCTCCCACGGCTTCACTTGACCAGCCTAAAAAAATTTTTGCACACAACCGCAAGTAAGTAATAGCGACCAGAAATAACGGGGTCTTAGACAAGAGAGAGCTTTCTTTTCTTTCCCACATAGAAGCCGTCGGGAGGTAAGTAGACCAAGGCGTGGGAGAGCCCGCCTCACCAGGTCCCGGGCTCTTTCTCACTACGCTCTGCCCCACTTAGCCCGCGTTTCCACCTGTTCATCCTCACGTTCATATCCGGACCCGAGACACCTGCTGAGGCATCAGCCATCAGGTCTCCAGGGGCTGGGAAAAGGCAGGAGGAGGAGGAGGAGGGAGAGAGGGGCGAATAGGGCTTCCTCAGAAGTGCCGCCCCTCCAACAACCACCTGCCACTCAGTGGCCACCCATCCACCAGGTATAAGGAAGACTTGTTACTGGAAGGCAGCAGGCTGCTTCTCCCACAAGAAGCTGGGACTGTTTTTATTTCCAGGCGAAGAAATGGAAAGAGAAATGGAACCAGTTTAATCTGTCTCACCGTGGCTGCTGCTTTCCTGCCTCTCTCCCTCCCTCCTCCAATCCTTCTCTCCGTCTCTCCATCCCTCCCTCCTTCCTTTCTTCCCTTCCTCCTCCCCCGCCCTCCCTCTGTCTTTTCTGTGTTTGCTAACTTAGCAGTTATAGAATGATCACTAAAGGTTTTTGTTACTATAATGGTCAGTTACTACAGAAAGTGAACAGTCTTCCAGTTTTGTTTATAATTTATATATCCTCTTGTGAATTGCCTGTTCATATAATTTGGCCATTAATTGATTAGGATCTTATTTTTTATTGTAGTTTGTGGTTTATACCCACCACAAACATTTTTAAAAAAAATATTTATTTATTTCAAAGAGGAAGTGAGAGGGAGAGAGAAATAGAAACATCAATGATGAGAATCATTGATTGGCTGCCTCCTGCACGCCCCCTACTAGGGATTAAGCTCACAACCCGGGTATGTGCCCTGATCGGGAATCCAACTGTGATCTCCTGGTTCAACCACTGAGCCACACTGGCTGGCTACTACAAACATTTACTGGAGAAAAGAATAAAAGAAAAAACAAATAACAAAAAAAAGAAAAATATTAAAAAACAAACAAAGAAAAATATGAGTGTACAGATGATGTGTGGTGGAAGTATGCACTGGAACCTGTATAATGTTGTTAACCAGTGTCAGACCAATAAATTCAATAAAACATGAAACTGAAATAGAGAACAAACAAACAACAAAATCCTGTCATTCTCAGGAGCATTTGAGGTCTTGTTTCCCGGCAATTGCCAGTTTGGGCTCAAATAAACTCATAAAAATGCTTTCCAGGTTTGGATACTTCTTACATAGACAACTATTAAAACTTTTAAAAGTTTGTTTGTGTATTGCCTAATATCATCTCCTAATATTTGTAGCAAACCTGGTTACTTTTGGAAACTTCTCAGTATAAAATAAATGACTCTGTGATTTGGCCACTGGATATGTGTGTGTGTGTGTGTGTGTGTGTGTGTGTGTGTGTGTGTGTGTATCTGAAATCACAACTGTAAATCTCCCTTTACGGGATCAGCTTTATTTTATTTTCATTGTTTTTTATGGGATCAACTTTAATTAAGAGAACCTTAATGCCATTACCTTGGATGTAACGCCTTTGCCAGGCCGTCTGAGAGAAATCACTTCTCTTTGCTGATAAGAGAAGTAAGTAGGATATTTAGGACCCATGGGACTACCTAATCAGGTTAAAACACACCTCAAATTAAAGCTTGTTCTGCTCAATAGTAAGTGGCAGATTTCCTGGGTTTCTTTTCTTGCCGCTTAATACAAAGAGCAAGGAGACTTGCTGCACATTGTCTTATTACTCAAACGTAAGCCTTTATGAATGTTAAAATTGTAAAACGTGTTTACATTGCTATGAGAAGTCATAAAACTTGGCTGGTAGAAGAGTTATATGTTGAGTGAAGACTGAACTTACTGTTGAGCATTTAGTTGTCACTGAACTTAAGATGAACTTAAAAAAAATATTTTCCCACCCAACTACATTGTTTCATTCTTTAACACTATAAATGGCAAGAGTCCCTTTTGGTTTTTAAGTCTGCTGCCATGATTTAAATGACTATTTTCAGAGAAAAAAAATTATATAATTTGTATACAATAATATTCACCATTTATAGTGTATAATTTAATGATATTTAGTACAGCCACAAGGTATCACCACTATTTAATTCTCACCGCATGGTCTTGTTTTCATATTTTGATTGCAGGAATCTGTAGTTCATCTTCCCATCTTTGGAAACGTGATATAAAGTCAGTCGATGTTTAATGTGTACTAAGGGCCTCTTTATAACCAAAGAGGCCCTCAGTCCACAGGATTTAAATGTTACAGATAAAGAACACCCTCCAGGTGGGCTCTCCCGAGTTTTTTCCACACTGCGCCTCCTCTGAGCCTCGGTGTGCTGTTATTTTTCCTTCTAGTTGAAGAGTCTCTCCTCAGCCAGCCTTCCTGTGGTTCTGGGTGATGTCCGTTCCGTCTTTTAGTTGTATTTTTGAAGTGGTTGTTTGCGGCAGCAGTCTCCGGTGTTTACCTATGCCGCCATCTTGCTCGGAATCCCCACAAACATTTTTTAAAAAATATTTATTTATTTCAAAGAGGAATTGAGAGGGAGAGAGAAATAGAAACATCAATGATGAGAATCATTGATCGGCTGCCTCCTGCACGCCCCCTACTGGAGATCGAGCTCACAACCCGGGTATATGCCCTGACCGGGAATCCAACTGTGATCTCCTGGTTCAACCACTGAGCCACACTGGCTGGCTACTACAAACATTTACTGGAGAAAAAGAATAAAAGAAAAAACAAATAAGAACAAAAAAAAGAGAAAAATATTAAAAAACAAAGAAAAACATGAGTGTACAGATGATGTGTGGTGGAAGTATGCACTGGAACCTGTATAATGTTGTTAACCAGTGTCATTTCTTGCTTTGAGGAATAGTGTATCTGTATAGAGCAAGATGCTCTTAAATTTTAGCATTAGCTGAGTCCTTGCTGTCATTTCTTTCTGTTTGCTGCCATGCCGTCCATTGTGTTTGCCGCTGATAGATCAGTACTTTTAGGGGAAAGTGAACCAGTTGTATTTCCTTTTGCTTCCTCTTCTTTGTTTTTATTTTCAGATATTTTAAGACACTAAACATATTTTCCTACTTTATTTTTAAAGTGAAAGCATTAAAGGGATTAGCTCATCCCGATATTTTGTTGCACATTTGGTTCATAGTTCTGTTCTCTTTCCCAGTGTGCCCCAAATATTCATAAAATGGATGGATATTCATGTGATGGTGTTCAGGTAGGTTAGTTCATTTTTACCTAATTTTTTTTTGTGTGTGTGTACCAGCATGAAAGAAATACTGAAATGTTATCACAATAGGAACATTAATTTAAATGTTTCATAATAAATTCTGAAGATAAAAAGCCTTTATAATACTCTTTGACTAGTTCTCCTGGTTATACTTACCTTTTCAGTTACCTGACATCAGCAGACATTGCATGACTCATAGATATGCTTTTCCATTTTAGGGGATTTGCTTTGGAGGAAGATGCAAAACCAGGGATAGACAATGCAAATACATCTGGGGGCAAAGTAAGTAAACAGTGTGGCCCAGTCATTTCAAGGTGTGCTATCAGGCCAAGGGTCATGTGAGCAGGAAGTAAATTTTCAACCACTTTAAGAGTGAGGGATTCTTCAAACCACCACACGTCTTAGCAGGGGCACTTTTATGGAAATTAGAGAAGGGCACTTCTGAGAAGACACAGCCCTACACATCTTGGGTAGTTGGCAGTGCCTCTGGATGAGACAGATGGTGTCTTCACTGCCAGGCAGGTGAAGTCCTTGCCAGGTGTGCAGCTTGGAGAACGGAACAAACGTGGATTTTAGCTCCACATATGCTCTCCACAGCTGAGTGTCCTTAAGCAAAACCTGTACAACCATATGGGATGGACGTGGACCCTGGCTAGGGAGCTGTAGCCTTGGAACTGTAGCATTTTCGCTAGACTTGTTTTTTCTCCCTCAACTATCTTTCTTGACCTCTAGCTGGCTTTTCTACTTATTGGTGACCTGCTGGAGTGGCTCTGCTGTATCAGAGAGAAATTTTAATGTTATTCCCTTTAAAGTTTGTCAAATTTTCATAGGGAATTATATATCAATTATATCTAGAACATATTATTGAAATTATATATTTATATTTAAAATATATTTAAATGTATTTTTTCCAGAACTATTATCTGCCCCTTTGAAAGTAGTTTTTTGTTTTAGAGTAGTGGTTCTCAACCTTCTGGCCCTTTAAATACAGTTCCTCATGTTGTGACCCAACCATAAAATTATTTTCGTTGCTACTTCATAACTGTAATGTTGCTACTGTTATGAATCGTAATGTAAATATCTGATATGCAGGATGGTCTTAGGCGACCCCTGTGAAAGGGTCGCGTGACCGCCAAAGGGGTCGCGACCCACAGGTTGAGAACCGCTGCTCTAAACTCTAAGGGATCCCCAGAGACTTGCAACCAGGGGAGCCATGAGCAGCAGCAGCTTGTCCCAGGCTCACCCCCTGCCCCTAGGCCCCTTTTCTCTGACTCCCCATGAGCCAGAGCAGCCCTTCCTGGGCTCTCTGTCCTCAGCCCTTCCTGTTGCACTGTTCCCACTTTAATAAATGTACACCCCCACCCCCCCAAAAAAGCACACCCCTCCAAAGGGTGTTGGGACAATGTCTGGAAGGAAACAAGGGTAGTTTCTAGAACAGTCTGTCTTCATGTCTTTCAGGCTTCCAGATGGGCTGAGAGACCAATTATGTTTACTTTCCCCGTTCTGTGAAATAATAACTTTTCATGCTTTTCATGGTGTCTCTTGGGAAGGGGATTTCCAGGACTTATTTCTGAGCATTATTGATCTATCTGTCACTGTGACAGCGTTTTAAGAAAACAAAGGATGTCTACCTTGCGGTGTAGTTGCTTTTATGTGTGTCTGCGGGGTCCCCAGCTGGAAGGAAAACTCCTCAGGGTGCGGAGCATGTCAGACCTCCCAGGTCCCCACAGGGGCCCACGCGACACATGCAGTGCTGGTTCTTGCCAACATTAAGGACTTGATGGGCTGCCTGCGTCCCGACTGCTTCTCACCAGGGGTCTGAAGAGTGATTGAAGAATCTCAGAACCTCCTTTTGTGAACGATTTATTTTGAAAAACTGTTACACTTCTTGGAAAGCAGAGGATGGTAAAATGAGCCTCCTATATGTGCTGGCATCAAAATAATGATGCCAGTGTTATTACTCACAATATAATTACTGAGACCAGATTAGGAGTTCTGTGGATCCCACTAGGGGTGTAGAGTTAAACAACTGTATCTTTTTTAAAAAAAATACATACTTTATTGATTTTTTACAGAGAGGAAGGGAGAGGGATAGAGACTTAGAAACATCAATGAGAGAGAAACATTAATCAGCTGCCTCCTGCACACCCCCTACTGGGGATGTGCCCGAAACCAAGGTACATGCCCTTGACCGGAATCGAACCTGGGACCCTTCAGTCCGAAGGCTGATGCTCTATCCACTGAGCCAAACCAGTTAGGGCTAAACGACTGTATCTTAAAGTCATTTGGAAAATATTTTACTAACTTGCTCCTCAGCTCTCTTTGGTTTATTTTTCTTTTGGTTTGGGGGATTAAGAATCCTTTTTCAGGATTAAATACAGAAAGGGGGAACGAAAAGAAGAGCTCCATGGCTTTCTGTCAGTAACAAGTAAGAATAATACACAAGAACGCGCACTGTGACGTATGGTTACACTGTGTAGACAGGACCCATGGGAATGGAAAGACCTGGCATGGAGATTACTTCTCTGTAGTGAAGCCCACTCTACTCCCACTCAGAGGCTACTGGTCAGATTGTCCAGAGCTCACCTGGCCCCATGCAGGGCGGATGGCTAGCCACTGGGGCCCAATGATCTCATGTGGCCATTTAACCTCTCTGTGTTTCAGATGCATTAATATGTAAGACCCACTTCACAGATTTTCTGTGAAGATTGAAGAAAAATATGTGCTCAGCTACAGCTCATTCCGTGTCCCCTCTCCTGGTTCCATCAGGGAAGCCGTGTGGGAAACCGGAACCATTAGAAGATGCCAACCAAGCGGGCGGAGCCGGTCACCGTCCTCAGCCTTCGGAGGTTGAGCCTGGGAGCCCCAGAGCCACAGCCGAAAGGTCAGGTGATCTAGAAGTCTCTGACCTCAAGTTGCTGCTTAATTCCACCCCCTCCCCCCGGATTTACTAGTTTTTATAACAGGAATTGGTTTCCCAACATCCTCTGGGGTGAGCAATAGTCCACACACATTTCCTACCCACACAGGCTGTTCTTTTCACTTTGCTTTTCCTCGTTAGAGCCCAAGACTTTCACCGTGGAAGATGCCGTGGAGACCATCGGATTCGGGCGCTTCCACATTGCCCTGTTCCTCATCATGGGCAGCACTGGGGTGAGTGCGGCTTGGAGTCTCCCGAGCTATTTCCTTGTGGGACACATAGAGTCTTGCACGGACCTCAGCGCAGGGCGGTCCACTTGGGCGGATGTGAGGGGGGCAGGGAGTTTGTGAGGCGAACATGTCCCCAACAAATCATTTCCCCCTGATCCCCACTTGATACCCTTTTCCCTTTTAATGATGTCATTTTCATCCCTTCCTCCAGGTACAAAACCTCAGAACTGTCTGTGACTTTCTTCTTCATTATTCTGAGCTGGATTTCTTTCCTCTATTTCTATTTATTCTATCAATTCTTTTCTAGCATCCACTTCATTTCCCTGGGAGATACACTCACCCCGTAATGGATAGCAAGATATGGACAGAGGATGATAATTAACCTTTCTGTTGAAAGGAGTATTTAGGCCTTAACCGGTGTGCTCAGTGGTTAGAGTGTTAACCCATGCACAGAAGGATCTCGGGTTTGATTCCTGGTCAAGGGCACGTACCTGGGTTGCAAGTTCATCCCTGGCCCCAGTCGGTGTGTGTGGAAGGCAATCCATCAATGTTTCTCTCTCACATCTCTCTCTCTCTCTCTCTCTCTCTCTCTCTCTCTCTCTCTTCTTCTCTCTTTCTTTCTCTCTCCCTTCCTTCCACTGTCTCTAAAAATCAATTGGGAAAAGTATCCTCAAGTGAGGGTTAACAAAAAAAAAAAAGAAAGGAATATTTAGCAGCACATACTGTTTGCTAAGAAGACATTCTTTCCTGATGATGAACTCATATTGTTTGTACTTGTTCCTTTATTGTTGTCTGGCTTTCATGACCTTGTCTCCCCATCCCAACTTCTTGAGAAAGGGACTATTTTAAAAATCCATTTGCCAGGGGCATGTCCTGAGATCTCCACGAGGATGAGTATAAAACAACAAAGCTAGGTCGAAGTGGATGGCGGGGTGAGCCACTAGCTACGTGACGGGCCTCCGCACAACACCCTCAGATACAGTGCAAATGCATGCATCCCCAACATCACAAGTAAATATGAGCGATAAATCCGGGGACATTTCAAAATGTTCAAGTAGTGCTAAGTGGGTACGAAATAGGTGCTCCCTAAATGGGGGAGGGGAGGGAAGAGAGGACTAAAGGGTGGTGGAAGACAGGCATGGGGAGAAGTGGTGACAGGCTGGCACTCACACACAGCATTTTTCCTCCTTTTTCTTCAGATTGCCGAGGCCATGGAGATCATGTTAATAGCGGTTGTGTCTCCCGTCATCCGCTGTGAATGGCAGCTGGAGAATTGGCAGGTGGCGTTAGTGACCACGGTGAGTGACCTGCTTCCTGAGCTGCAAATGAGCCACCTGGAGACCAGGGCTTCCACGCCCCTTCCTCATCCCACGGGGTGAGACTCAAAGGGTACCCCACCCCTAGTCTGTTGGCTTTCAAAGCTGATGCGTCTGCAGGCTCCAACCAGCATTTGAGGCCTTTCTTCCCGTTTTTCCCCACCCTGGAGAGCATAACTTTGAATTGCTTATTTTCCAGCTCCTAACAAAAGCCCAAAAGAGATAAATGCAAATCAGAGAAAGTAACTCTTAAGCCATGGGTTAGATATGCTTTAACTATTAGTTCAGAACACTAAGAGGCTACTTAGTGTGACCATAGTGACTTAACCAATCACCAAATTGAATTGTTTGTGTTATACACTCAACTTTTCTCAAAGACCATATGAATAGCTTTATGAGTTTCACACCAAATACTGCTGCAAAGTGGAGCTAAGTTTGCTGTAAAACAGTACACGTATTACGCTGGCAGTAGCTTCATCCATCTCATGTTTACCGTGTCTCTTGATTGCATCACATTCCCATAAGGTTAACTTAATCTTGTGTTGTTTGTACAGTAACAGGCTGTAGAGCAGTGGTTCTCAACCTTGGCTGCACATTAGAATCACCTGGGAATCTTTTTAAAATCCTGATTTCTGGGCCTCATCCTCCGGAAATTCTGTTTCTTTGTTACTAATGTTGTGGCCTTACCCCATAACAAAGAAACAGACTTTCCGGAGGATGAGGCCCAGAAATCAGGATTTAAAAAAGATTCCCAGGTGATTCTAATGTGCAGCCAAGGTTGAGAACCACTGCTGTAGAGGCTTGCAGCCTAGGAACAATAGGCTATACCTGTGGTCGGCAAACTGCGGCCCCTTGAGTGTGGCTCTTCCACAAAATACCACGTGCGGGCGCGCACGTACAGTGCGATTGAAACTTCGTGGCCACATTCAAGGGGCCAAAGAGCCGCATGTGGCTCTCGAGCCACAGTTTGCCGACCACTGGGCTATACCATAGAGCCCAGCTGTGTGGTAGGCATACCATCGGGATTTATGTGAGTGCACTCTATGATGTCAGCATGATGACAAAATCACCAGACAATGCATTTCTCAGAGTATACTCATCGCTAAGCAGTGCATGGCTGTAGGAACTTAATTTTAGGGGAACCCAAAATTTGGGATTCACAAGCTGATAGAATATATTTCTTAAATGGAGTGGCTGACATTAGAACATATGTGTATTTGGCAAGTAAGGTTATTAGAAGAAGAGAAAGAAGCAGAAAAGCTTGCCATCGACAACCACCATCTTTCAAAAACAGAAGGGCACGTTATTTATTGCCATCAATCAGAAATAAAATCATTCCAGGATAAAAGAGCCCTTTATATTGAATGAATCTAGATTTATGTAAAGTATATCCCCGTGTCCTGTTTGTACCATTTTGCAGAGGACTGGTTAGATCGCACTGCGGCGAAGCAGTGTCCCACGCCTGGCACTTAGAAAACAGCCCTCCACCCCCATCTCTTCCCAGAAAGGACAGTGCACAGAGGAAATGCATGGCTTTTGTCATTCAAGAATAGATCCGATGTTGTTGTTTTCAATGGTTTCCTGTGGAAGAAGAGTCTTCCTTAGGAAGAGTAAGGAAGAGAGAGAAAGAGAAAGCAATGCAAGCAGCAGAGAGACACAGATCTTTGTGGGAAAAGTGTTAAAAATGCCAGCTCCCACCTTTCCTTTGGTTAGTTACCCTGGAAGCAGCCAGCCAGCAATCTTACTAGAAGGCAAAGCAGTGAAGCTTGGAGCTGCCAAAGGCATAGACATCGGTTTAGAACTCAGGCTGAGTTAAAACGCTGGTATTATATCCAGGTTCTTGAGTTTTCTTTAGGGAAAGTCATTGTGAGAACAAATAAGGAAAGAGGTAGGTTTGTTTTCGATTTGAAGAGTATTTCTAAATGAATGGTTGGTTTGGTGATTGTTAAAAGTTTATGTTTATCTATAATACATAAAGGAGACTGCTTCTAGAAGTCTCAACTCTGTGTAGAATTGGAGCATGAATGGAGTTTTTTTTAAGTTATTAATATGGAAATCCACAGTTATACATCTGAGTTGAGTAGGGCCAATGAAATCATCTTGGATCAGAAGGAAAGCAGTTACCTGTTCTTCCCACCCGTTTCCACCTGGTGGCAGTGTTTCCAGGTGTGAGATCGGCCAAGGAGAAGCATCAGCCTCAAAGCCCTGAACAGGTTCAACAGGAGTCAGGGGAGATCTTCGTGAAAACCTGTTCTTCACTCTGCCCCGTGCATAGTTCTAGTCTACCTGGAATTGAGGTGGATGCACGCTTAATGCATTGAATTAGCAGGTCATCGCAACTCTGCTTCGAGAATAATTTTTTCTCACCCCCCCACCCCACACCCTCCAGATGGTGTTTTTTGGCTACATGGTCTTCAGCATCCTCTTTGGCCTCCTGGCTGACAGATATGGCCGCTGGAAGGTAGGTTGGCCTTGAAAGGTGATTTGCAATTTTCTTCTGTGTGTTGTTTTGTGGCCATGTCACCACTGCTTCTCTTTAGCGGACATTTCTCCATCAATACCCAAGATAGAAAGTGCAGAAATGCCCTCCTCTGACATTTCTTGCCTGAATTCCAGGCCTATCTTCTCACTTGCTCATCTTTCCTGAGGCATCTGGCCCTGTACTAGGTCCCTATGGACCAGGTAGGGAGTTGGTGGATGTGCATAGGGAGAACATGTTAGAATGTGGAATCTGCACAGAGAAACATAGCAGCTTCACGTTAGTTAACTTTGAAACTGAACCACTTACTTATGGATTAAACATCAAGACAAATCTATGTCTTCTGATTACAAACCCAGGTCTCTCTTCTTTTCTTGTCGGTTTTCTCATGGGGGATGCCTCTCAAAGCATAAACTCAAAGGGAGAGGCCCCAAAGCAGAGCATTTACAGACTTGGCTGTATGCTTGGAAGTACACAAAACAAATATCATCAACTCTTACAATTTATATGAAAACACAAGTGTCTCGGGGGCTCTCTCTAAGGAGCACACCCACGCCTTTCCACACTCCCTGCCCCAGGCGCATTTTCCTTGCCTCTTTTTCCTAAACTCCAAGGGCCCTTCTTTTGCCTCTGTAACTTGTTCCCTGAGCCCATGCAGCCCAGCTGGCTCACTTCTTCTACCTCTGTGACTTTCTAAATAAATTTTTTTTTTAAACACACACACACAACAACAACAACAAAACCCCCCACCAATATCTCAAAAAAATGTAAAGAGCACAGAAAGGCATTTACAAAAGAAGTACAAATGGTTAAGAAACCTTGAAAAGCATTCAGTCACAGGAGTTATCAAAAGCAAAATTACGTAGTGTCAATGAAAAGAAAAGTGAATCTCTATAAACCTGAGAAAGAGTATTATTGGGGCCTTATTGAGGGCTATAGCCAAGAGCAAAGCTTCAAGAAGCCTGAAACTGCTCCACATTTGGAGAAGTGAGTGGCGCTCGTAGAGGCAGAAAAGTAGGCAAAAGTACATTTGGCACCTCAGGAGCTCCAATTAGGGTGCGTACATCTCAGTATTTGACAGTTTTACATCAAATGGAAGGAATGCATCAGAAAGATAAGGTTGGGTCATCGTGGTGCCCCTGGAAAGAATGTATAGGAAAGATAAGGTTGGGTCTGGAAACAATTAAACTGCCTTGGAACTGTTTCAGATGCATTTTTATGTGGATATTGAAAGAACAGACAATTTTCTGTAATCATTGGCCTTTAATTTTTGAAGTTCTGCAGAAGGTGTGGAGGCTGGCCCCCATGGTGTGTGCCTTCGCGAGGAATTTAAGGAGGCTCATGGTTCTCTCCTGGGTACTGATTTAGACAGTACATCTTAAGCACCCATCTATATCCTCAAAAGCCAGATATAATTTTTTTCTTATCTGGTCTATTTCAAACATGAAATTCAGAAGGAATTTTTCTCTAAGAAACCTGCACGTGTATGGATGCCCTCACATACTATTGGTGTAGTTTTTCTGACCATCAGTTTGGTTTGGCAGAACAAGAACCTTGAGAATACCCATCCTCCTCATCTGACAATTGTCAATCCAGAAATCTAGCCTGTTTAGATCATCGTAGAACTGCAAAGATTTATGCACTTTCATCATCACAGCTCATTTTTATAGAAAATGTGAAATCACTTCAATATTCAATAACAGGGGAAAGGTTTATGCATTATGTTATATGTATTATAGTACATCTTTCCAATGGAATATTTTACAGCCATTAAAAATATGTTTTCTGGCTCTGGCTGGGCAGCTCAGTTGGTTAGAATGTCATCTCAAGAAACCAAGGTTGTGGGTTCAATCTCCGGTCAGGGCACATACAAGAATCAACTAAGGAATACATAAATAACTGGAACAACAAATCAATGTTCCTCTCTTTCTCTCAAAATCAATTAAACATTTCTTTAAGACACAGGGAAAATTGGATAAAATCATGTTAAGAGTATTTTCTCTGGGTTGGAGAATTAAGGGTGATTTATTTTAAATAGTTTTTTTAAAACATATTTTTATTGATTTCAGAGGGAGAGACAGAAACATCAACGATGAGAGAGAATCATTGATAGGCTGCTGCCTGCATGCCCCACACTGGGGATTGAACCCACAACCCGGGCATGTGCCCTGACCAGGAATCAAACCATGACTGACTGGTTCATAGGTCGATGCTCAACCACTGAGCCATGCCGGCCAGGCTCTTTTTCTTCCATATTTTCTACTATGAACTTGTGTTATTCTTACAATTAGAGAAAAAACAAATACCTTAATTTTTCTCCTTATACCCAACTCCCACACAATGCTTCCTGTGCTCCTGACATCCTTTTGAGCAGGGAGGGCACGTTTCTGCATTCTCAATGCAGTTGGGGAATTTCAAAGAGTGGCCTAAACTCAGAATTGTGAATGGGCCCTGGCTGGGTAGCTCATTGTCTGGATACACCAAGGTTTTGGGTTCGATCTCCAGTCAGGGCACATACAAGAGTCAACCAATAAATGCATCAATAAATGGAACAACAAATCTCTCTCTCTCCTCTCTCTCTCCCTCTTTCCCTCTCTCCCTCTCTCCCCCCTTCCTCCCTTTCTAAAATCAATACATAATTTTGGAAAATAATTATTTAAAACAAAAAGAATTGTGAGTGAAATAGGGGCTCTACTAAATGTGACAAGTCCAGTGAGCAAAAGTAACCTCACAGGGTGATGTGATCATAAATTTATGGTGGGCAGTCATGCTCCCAGCCTATATCTTCCTTAAGCAAGCCCTGTCCATTGTTCTTGGGCATCCAGGCACACCCCCTTGGAAATCCCAGAGCAATCCTCTTTTCCAGATCCCTTGGAGACAGAGGCAAGTCATAGGCACTCTCAACGAGCACAGAACTACAGTGGGGCCTTGACTTACGAGTGTCCCGACTAACGAGTTTTTTGAGATACCAGCTGTCTCTCGGCTGATTTTTTTGCATTGAGTTGATAGAGTAATTTGAGTTAACGAGCTCCTTAACGAGCTCGGTCTCGGAACGAATTAAACTCGTAAGTCAAGGCCCCACTGTATCCTGCAATCCAACCCTAGAGATTTCCCGCCTTGCTTTCTCCGACCTCCATGGAATCTTCCTTAGGTTCCCGCCTTATTTCCAAATGTATGAAAGGAACCGCACCGCTGTCATTCCCCTGAGCATTTGAGATCTTGCTCCCCAGCAGCTGTCATCAGTTTGCCTCAAATAAACTCATAAAAATTATCTGCAGGGTCCACGGAATGTCTGGGCTTTCGGACAATAGAATGTCACGGTTAGTATTTGATGATTGGGGGAAATCAGTGAGCTCACTGTAGGCCAGCCCCTCAGAGGAGCAAACACCTGGATGGAAATTAAAAATTACCTTCGCAAGTGAGGGTCCCCCTATCTTCTATGGAGGCAGGTCCCATTAATGACTTTCTTTTCGTTGCTTCAGATTTTGCTCATCTCGTTCCTGTGGGGAGCCTACTTCTCCTTGCTGACCTCTTTCTCTCCCTCGTACATCTGGTTTGTCTTCCTGCGGACGATGGTGGGCTGTGGCGTGTCTGGCCATTCACAAGGGTAAAGACTTCACCTAGAGGACCCCTAGGGATGGATATGGAGATAGATTATATATATATCCATATACATCCACACTGACACAGACACTGTGCTTAATAGAGTAATACCATCAATAAGTTGCAAATTTATTGACTTCACTTGTGCTAATTATTTTTGAACTTTTTGTTTTTAAGTGATGGCATCTTATTTTATTAGTTGCTATTGGCTCGTCAAAACGATGTTTGATGGTCAGGCTAGCAGACTGCTGGATTAAGCGTGTGTTAACTTTATGTTCCTAAGGTTGCTCATTTTTTAGATAAATATTATTTAGTTAAGACTAAATGCTCAACAAAGAGTGGCATATGAGTTCAGAAACAAAAATGTCCACCTAAACACAACCTATGCATTTCTTGAATTTGTTGGAAGAGTTTAGTTTGACCATAAGCACCTGGGACATTTAGGAATGACCATTTAAAAGTGCCATTGCCCTATAATTTAAGACTTTGTCAAATGAATTTGCAGAGCTGGGCGTGCGGTACTGAAAGATACCCTTGGATGAGTGTGCAGTATCGTGTGTGTGTGTGTGTGTGTGTGTGTGTGTGTGTGTGTGTGTGTGTGTGTGTGAGAGAGAGGGGTGATGCTAAATTTTCAGCAATTTGGGAGCCTCCCTTAAATTAACAGGGCCTCTCAGGCTATTCTCTCCTGGGTGCCTGGGAACAAGTGCCCTTAGAATATATTAGGAGTCTTCAAAGCACCTAATTGTTACCTTAATGTGTTAGGGAAGGAATTGTTCTTCCCTGGGGCATGAGTTAAACACCACTTGTGCTTCAGAGCCTGGAGGAGTAAAGTTAGTAAAATTTTAAAGCATCCCTCAGAGGACGCCCAATAAATGCGCACGTTAAAAACTAAGCCCTTGCTAATAACTGCAATAGAGAAGAACAATTAGAAAGCTGATGGGATATGAGTTCATATATTCTTCTATTCACAGAATGAAGACATACTTAATTAGAAACTGTGCTTTGACTGTCATTATTAGTCCAGGGAACTACCTGCTCTTGGTTGTATTTTAGTTTCCAAAGTATGTTTTAGAAAAGCAAATCAGACTTGGGAAGACATATTTCCAACATTTCTCTCAGCAAAAGAGATTGGCTAATGCCTCTTAAATAGTAAGAGGTAACTGAAAATTCAATAACTTTGACTTCCAATAATGTTGGGCATAAAAGTGTTCATATAGCATCAGGAATAAAAATGTAAAGAGAAGAGCAGTCTTTATGTTTAACTTCTTGTTTTCTTATGTGGATGTTAGCTGTATTAATCTAAAAATAAAAAAGCCACAGTGACAGGCAACAAGTGCTCATTTGAGCCAAGAAAATAGGAATTCAGGAAGCACCGATCCCAGCAAAAACCCAGGGTTCCGATCGGGAGCTGAAGGGGAAGGGGAATTATTACGTGACTAGAAGGAAGGCATTTCTATGGCTGCAGATAGGCTAAGGAAGGCATTTCCACAGGTGCAGACAAGTTGACACGGTGACGAATTCTGAAGAATGACTTTAATGTTCTGCTTTCCTGTTGTCTTTGCAAGCAGTTGTTTGGAACACAGTGCTGCTTCAGGCACAGTCCAAAGGTCATTTTGTCCATTTTTAACATTCCAGAGGTTTGAGAAGTAAGACATGCAAGGTGGTTGTCTGGGATGTCAGCTCCAACTCCATTTTGTTTGTTTTTTTGTTTGTTATCAGAGATGGTATTTTTTTCCATTGATTTTTAGAGAGCGTGGGAAGAAAGGAGGGAAGGAGGGAGGAAGGGAGAGAGAGAGAGGGAGAGAGAGAGAGAAACATTGATGTGAGAGAGACACATCGATTGTTTGACTCCCGCATGTGCCCCAACCAACAATCAGGTGTGTGCTCTTGACCAGGAATTGAACTCTCGGCCCTTGGGTGCACGGGCCAGTGCTCTAACCACTGAGCAGCAGAAGCCAGGACTCCAACTCTATTTGGAAGTGGCTTCGTTTGTGTTATTTTTACAGCTGTAACAATTATATTTTGATGTATGATTGTCTAGGAAACTCTTCTGTTTTCCTTCAATGCTTACACTCACTTATTCTGACAATACTTCACTTCTGACCCCAGCTGTGTGGATTTTTCCCACACCAGCAAGTCTCTGGCGCCAGCTGGATGCCCTACAATCCATTCTGACGCTAACCAGAGTTCGTGCGGTTCCCACAGATTAAAGGCCCAGTTCCACAAGACCCCCCACTTGACATACCACGTGCAAGTAGCAGGTCCCCAGCGTACCCACAGCTGCTGGCTGACTCGGCTGCGAACTGGAAGTTCCCGCAAACCCCTTCTCAGGTTTGAGAATTTGCTGGCAGAACCCAGGAAAGCAGTTTACTTACTATCGCAAGGGGATTATTTATTACAAAGGCTATTTCATAGGATGCAAATGAACAGCCAGATGAAGACATACCCAGGGCAGGGTCCTGGAGGGCCCCGAGTCCGGGAGCCTCCATCCCTGTGGAGCTGGGTGCCCCACCCTCCCGCACACGGCTGTGCTCAGCAACCTGACAATCTCTGAACGCCGCACTGCAGAGATTTTTATGGAGGCATCACTGTGTCGGCGTGACTGAGGATGGACCCCCTTGGGGGCAGCACCGAGCATTCCAACTCTCTAATCGTGGCTTAGTCTTTCCAGTGGCCAGTGGCCAGCCCTCCTTGCGGAGCCTGAGAGCTCCTCAGCAGAACAAGCGACGGCCCTACTGAGGCAGGAAAGTGGAATAGGGAACAGAGGCCCGAGGCTCTCCCTCCCCTTCTCCCTTTTGGCTGGAACATCACCGACATGACCTTCACTGACCACCTGTTCCCCCTCCCCCCTATCCCCTCCCCAATGTCCTGGTTGGGAGAACCAAAAGGAAATCACTATCCAGGGAGGAGAGACAAGGATGAGCCGTGAGACGGTCACCCCACCAGCGTCAGAAGCAGAGGACCACCCTCTCCCCACCTCGCCCGCGTTTAATAAAAACCTCCCACCCAGACGCCCCGGGGTGTCTCATTCTCCAAGGTCACCACTCTCACTTCTCAAGCAAGTACTATCACTGAGTAAATGCACTGCGCTTTGCCAAATCTCCCTGTCACGCTCTGGAATTCCTTCTTGTTCGGTGACAAGGACCTGGATCCGGTTGAGGCCTCTGTTTGGCCTCCCGGGTGCTGCCCAGCATCACTGTCACCCAGGACATTACAGGGTTTTAGGAGCGTCCTCGGTGTCAGGAGCCCAAAGACGCACTCTTTGAGAACAATAGACACACGCCTTACCATTTCCCAGGATGGATGTCCATGTTGTCTCAGTCTTTATCTCTGTGACAAGAAAAATTGTAACTGTTCAAATGAGTTATTTGGTCTTATAAAAACAAAATTATGTTTTCTCCCCTTCCTGTGTAGGCTGATCATAAAGGCGGAATTTTTGCCCACGAAATACCGAGGCTACATGCTCCCCTTGTCCCAGGTAAGGTAAATGGGGACTCTCTCCAGCCTCTTGCACCTAGAGAACACGGGGTTCCAGGTGTCCTTCTGGCTGGTTGGCTGCTCTTAGAGGAGGTCCTCTGTCTGTGGCTTGGAATGCGGGGCGCAGAGGCCCCGTTCCGAGGTTTCCTGAGCCAGGACTCTGTCACCCGCATTTAGAGCGCAGCACCCCCGTCCTCCCCAGCCGGAAACACTGCAATGGCTGATCTCACGGAGTGACAGGAGCCCAGGAGCGCATCTGGAATGAACTTTCTCTAATCCCCCCCCCCCCCCCCCCCCCGCCCCAGGATACTAGTGTCTGCAAGTCTGTCACTGACCCCTGCCTGTGGGACCAGGCCATGCTGCAACCTCCCTGATGAGCCATTTGTCCTGGGAGAGGATTGGGATGCTCTCCAGCCCCTCAGGCCCTGCCAGCCACTGATGAGAGGCCACGGCAACCTAGGTGCCCTGGTCCCGCCTTGGATGCCATCCTTGTCCAAAAGCGCTGACCTTTCAGAGGTCCCAGGAAAAAGACAGCAATAAAGTAGTAGGATACTGCTTTTAAATTACTTTGAATTTTTCTGATACTAAATTTAGGTAAGAACAACAACAACAAATTAGAAACCTAACAAACGATTGTAACTGTTCAAATGAGTTATTTGGTCTTATAAAAACAAAATTATGTTTTCTCCCCTTCCTGTGTAGGCTGATCATAAAGATGGAATAATTCTTTACATCCCCCGCCCCCCCAGATTTCTTCCTCTGATCTTTGTTGAGGTGGACACACACATTTTTAATACTCAGGGGTTGGGGTTTACATTTAACATTATTTCATTGGTTGCTTCTTGCACCTGCCACTCAGTCCTTAGCATGCTTCCTGGTTATGTATTCTCCTTGCTTGTCTTATTTTCCAGGTCTCCTTGGGTCATCTAATTTACGCCAATGTTTTTAGCTATCGATGTGCATATGACCCCCCAAAATCTTTATCTACCACCAGGAGCGCCTCCTTGAATTTCTGACCCAGGTGACCAGTTACCTGATAGCAACTTGAATATCCTACATGTTCCTCAAATACAACAGTCATAGAACTAATCTCTTCTTCTTCCTCTGAAGACTCTTATTTATTTTCAGTTAATAGCAAATCTACCTCTTCAGTCATCTGAGCCACAAACTCAAGAACCATCCCTGGCCCCTCCCTTCCCCTCACTTCCATCCAATGAATTACCAAGCCCTACTGGTCCATCCCCTATAACGGGCCCTCAACCACAGTGCCCATCAGTCCTGTCCCCTTGGCCTCCAAAATGTGTGTCATATCCATGAGTTAAACATTTTTTTGCCATCTCATTGTTAGAATCCTTTTCAATGCCACATCACCTGTCCCCTGGCCCACTGCAGTGGTTTGTTACAGCCCTTCATACCCATTGTCTCTTCAGAAAGGTTGTCCCTAACGGATCACGCAAGTCTCCATCCCATTACTATTATTTTTTTGTACCTTGTCACTTTCAGAAATAATCTTGTTTGCATGTTTGTAGTAGAATTCCTTGGTGATGAAATAGTCACCCCTAAGTAGTCCCTCAAGGAATCTTTTATGATATTATCCTCTCTCCATCTCTGTGAGGTGGAATGGAATTATCGTTTATTCTCCATCTTCCAGAGTGGAAATAATGTTCAGGCTGAACATTCAGAATTATCCTAATTCCCGACCAATGGGGCCTGGTGGTAATTGGCGGCCATGTTACTCATTGATATAAAATGATCTCCAAGTTATATATTTAGTGTGACAAGCAAAGTGTAAGCATTAGTTATACTACGTGACCATTTGTGAAAAAAGAGAAGAGCACAACACTATACTCTTATTAGCTTGTATATATTTAGAACAGCTTTAGGAATATGCAACAAACCGAACACAGGTTCTTTCCGAGGAGAGAAATTGGTGGCAGGGAAGGAGGAGAAGAAAACCTTTTTTAGAGTGTTCCCCTTTGTACCCTGAGTTCTGAACCAGTGAATTATTTACTTGAAAAAATAAAAGCCAGTGTCTGGGGTCCCAGATCTTTAAAACGTTGGTGACGTTATTGACCCTCTGCCTATGAGTCCCCCCCGCCCTCAGGCTATCAAACAAAGCCACGAGCAGTGAAGTCCCTGCCCCCAGTCAGCCAGGCCCTGAGTGGAACCGGAATGTGGGCTCCTCAGTCAAAGACCCTCTCTCCATCTCACCCTCTTCCATCGGTAAAATGCTGGGCGGGGCCGCTCCGGAGGAGGAAGTCTGGAGCAGGTTTGAGAGGAGGGACTTCATCTTCCATTCTTGCCCCAGGTTTTCTGGCTCGCTGGCTCCCTGCTCATCATCGGCCTGGCCTCTGTGGTCATCCCCACCATCGGGTGGCGCTGGCTCATCCGCATCGCCTCCATTCCTGGCATCGTCCTCATCTTGGCCTTCAAGGTGAGGAAGCTCACTGGGCTCCCTCCCTCCCTCCAGGGGTCCAGTGGCCTTCTGGTCCCCTGCCCACCTCCTTCCTTTATTTAAGTATCCATCTCAGTAAGCTTGGTGGAAAGGGCTAATGTGCAAGGCCCTTCTGAAGGTGTGAACGCACAGAATGTGTCTAGGGGAGAGCAGGTAGGCTGGGTGGCTGGGGTGAGGGGTGCTGGGGGAGGCTGGGGAGACAGGCCTGTCCAGCTTAGGAAGGGCCTCGCAGGCCAGGGTTCTGGGGGTGTGAGAGGGGTTCTGTGCTGGGAAGCTGGCTCAGGGCTGGGTGGAGCCCGGGCAGCAGAGGGCAGAAAGGCAGTTAGAAAGTGTCAGGACGCTCCCGGTGGGAGATGAGGAGGGCCCGAGCTGCCCATTGGCTGTGGGAATGGGGAGCGAGGTGCTGCCTGGGGCGATGTTCTCCTGAGGAAGCACCAACAGCCTGGACGAGGCCTGAGGCACGAGGGGCAGGGAGCAGCCACGTTGATTCTCCAGGTCCCAGCTTCAGTGGAGACCTGTGCTGTTGCCGAGTGTGGTGCTCAGAGTACTCACCCATCAGGGGGGTTGGGACCTCGACATTCAGGAGGCCCTGTGGGTGCTGGCGGCGCCGTCTGCAGTGATCTGTTGCATGGTGGGGAGGTCTTGGGATTCCTGCAGAGGCCTGGGGTGGCAGAGCAGTGACGGGGCCCTGGGGGCCTCGGGGAGGGGGTATTTACCAACTAGACAAGAATTTCATTGTATTAACAAGTCTGCTGAGCCAAGTTGGTATGAAGTTTGGTGTCAGCCGCTGTTGTCTAAGATGACACCCTGGTAAGGAGAATGCAACCTTTTTTGTTCCAAGTCAACCTGGGATGCAAGAGTGTGCCTGCGTGTTGTGTGCCTTTGCGCTGGCCACACCCTCTCCGCCACTGGAAACTGGGGCGGTGTAGTTAGTACATGGAGGTGACAGTCGTGTCCCTGGGTTCATAGCAGCTGCGCTCTCCTGTTCTTTGTCGTCTGTGCCCAGTTCATCCCTGAATCTGCTCGGTTCAATGTCTCCACCGGGAACACGCAGGCGGCCCTGGCTACGCTGCAACACATCGCCAGGATGAACCGCTCGGCCATGCCCGAGGGGCAGCTGGGGGAGCCCATCCTGGTGAGTGCCCAGAGGGAGGTCTTCTCCCCGCGTGGGGACCACCCGGAAATCCCCTTAGTCGTGTAAGGCCAGCGGGAAGGGGGCCGTAGCTCTCCAGTCCTGCCCCAGGAGGGAACAGCGACAAGAGCGGAGTAGATGGGACTGGATCCAGCTCTGGTCAGTTACCTACCTCCACTTTTGTCATCAATAAAATGGGTATAATAACACCTACCTTGCCAAGGTAGTCACAGGATTGGCATCATTGTTTATAGGTGAGAGATGGATTTAACATTTAATTTTCTTGTACTGGCCTCGTCTTATTTTGATATCAGTTATAAACTTCATTAAATGATTTTTTAAAACACACCAAAATGTGGTGTTTAAATTCTACTGGTTCAGGGCTCTCAGGGAAATCTGCATTCATTCCACACACCAGCCCAGACCCCCGCTTCACCCCCTGCAGGTGGCTCAGGCCCAGGCTCCTGGAGGAGGTCACCCCACACCTTCCTCACCTCTCCCACCTTCTTCACCTTCCTCACCTCTCCTGCCTTCTTCAGCTGTCCTGCCACCTCAACAATAGTATCTACAAGACAGGAATGAACCTCATTGAATGTTTGCTAAAACTTGCCTACAAGGCACTTACACCTAATATTTATTTTGGAGTGAGTGGTAGGGGGAAGTTAGGGGGTAGTCGAAGGAGAAGTTTTAAAATCTAATTTAAATTTGCATAAGGATTAGAGTCTACTTACGTTTAATACTTTTAATTGAGTCGATTTGGGTAATGCATATATTGTAGAAAATTGTTCGCTTCATCTAGGTTTTCAAATTTATTCATAGAAATTATTCCTAGTGTTCTCTTGTGAGTTTCCAAAAAAAAATCTGTGAGATTTTTTTCATTTTTTAATATCGTTTGTTTGTGCCTTTCTCTTTTTTCTTGGTCTGTCTCAGTAGAGGTTTGTCTGTTTTATTAAACTTCAAAGAGCAAGATTGCTTTTGGTTGTGCTCTCTTTATTGATTTTTTGGTGGACTCATTAGTTTCTCCTCTTGATTTTGCTTTCTTCCTCAGCTTTTTATGTTCTCCTAACTTTTAGCTTCTTGAGCTCAGTACTTTGCTTATTTATTTTCAGTCATTTTTTCATTTTAATCAACTATTTAGCTACATTTAGCAAGTTTTGTTACAGAGTAATTTTATTTTTATTTTGTAACTATTATGAGTTCTCTTTAACCAATGAGTTATCTGTTAATCTTTTTTAATTCTTTGTTTCTAATGTAATTGCTTTTTTGGTCAGAGGATATTATCAATTATTTGGGATTTATTGAGACTTTCCTTTTGTTCTCTATATAGTGTGTATATGTGTGTGTGTATATATATAATTGATTTCAAAGGAAAGGAGAGGGAGATAGAAACATCAGTGCTGAGAGAGAATCTTTGATAGGTTGTCTCCTGCACCCCACACTGGGGATCGAGCCCACAACCTGGATATGTGCCCTGACCGGGAATCGAACCATTACCTTCTGGTTCATAGGTCAATGCTCAACCCCTGAGCCACACCAGCTGGGCTACATAGCGACTTTTTATTAATGTTCTGTGTGTACTTCAAAAGGATGTTTTCTTAAATCCTATATAATAAAACCCTAATATGTAAATCAACTGAACAGCAGAACAACCAGTTGATATGATGCGCACTGACCAATAGGGGGCAGACGCTCAATGCAGGAGCTGCCCCCTGGTGGTCAGTGTGCTCCCACAGGGAGAGCGCTGCTCAGCCAGAAGCTGGATTCACAGCAGCTGAGCGCAGTGGCGGTGGCGGGAGCCTCTTCTGCCTCCACTACAGGCGGTGGTAAGGAGCGAGGGGTCCTGGACGGCGAGAGCCCCGGACTGCGAGAGGGATGTCTGACTGCCGGCTTAGGCCCAATCCCTGGTGGGAGTGGGCCTAAGCCGGCAGGTGAACATCCCCCAAGGTGTCCCAGACTGCAAGAGGGTGCAGGCTGGGCCACTAGTTAATTAATAAAAAAGAAAAAAATCCTGAGGTACTATTTGAAGAGTAGGTATTAGTAGGTATTAATCTACTATCTCTGTGTTACTCAGGCAGAGAGATAACACCCACCTTAGGAATGGGGATGGGTTGGATTGAAACAAGACTTAGTGTACTAAGGATGTGGAGAAGATATGGCTGACCTGCTTTTATTCACTTATTCTACAAATATTTATAAAAGCCTATTATGTGACAAACATTATGCTAGCTCTTGGGATCTAAATAAATAAAACACATGTCTTTCCTATCCCTAACAGAGAAAACCCACACATGTGCTCTCATTGACCATATATATATATTCTTCTGAGACCCCTTTCCTCAGCTTGTGGAGGCTGTCTTCTCCTTGTATCCTTACATCATCTTCTCTCTGTGTGTCTGTGTCCTGATCTCTTTTTATAAGGACATCAGTCATATTGGATTATGGTCCACCCGAATGACTTCCTTTTAACTTAATTACTTCTTTTAAGGCCTTATCTCTAGCCCTGGCTGGTGTGGCTCAGTTGGTTGTGTGTCCTCCCATGCACCTACAGCCAATCGATATTTTGTGCTCCCATTGATGTTTCTCTCTCCCCCTCTCCCTTCCTCTCTCTCTCTAAAAAAAAAAATCAATTAAAAAAAAAGCCTTATCTCCAAATACAGTCACATTCTAGGGGTTAGAACTTCAACATGGACTTTGGGGGACACGAGTCCCATAACAACCATCCTCCTCCTCCACCCCCTCTATATTCTCAGTACTCTCCATCCTCCACCCCCTCTTACATCCCTCTCCTTTCTCCTCCCCACTCCTTCCTTCCGCATTCCTTCTGTGCCTCCAGCTCGTACGTAGCCCATCCATCACGCCCATCAAATGATCTTGTCCTCCTCACTCATCTGTGGTGCAAGGCTCTGTGGCTGCAGAGATACAAGCAGTAGAGCCTGCCTTTTACAATCTGGTTAGAGAGAGGAGACTTACATAGGAAAGAATCAATAACAACGGAGCCAGACACTTAGAACCAGGTGAGCTGTGCAGGTGACTGGGTGCATGTAGGATCCGGGCAGAGAGGAGACTGTGAGGCACGGCAAGCCACCTTCAGGCATTGGTGAGGCATAAATTGAGCAATGAAAAGAGGGAAGAGGCCACCACAGGCAGGAGGAATGGTGTGAGCCGAGACCAGAGGCAGGGATGTGAGGTGGGTTTGGTTACGCGGCTGCTGTCAGAAGCCACGTGGAGGAGGCTGGGCAAGATGCTGTGGGCCGTGGAGCTTTGGCAGCTTCACTCCAGACACTGAGATGAAAGGCCTTGGGTCTATTTGAGGAAGGGCCACACCATGGATGCGCTGGATGAGTCCACCCATTTGGATTGTAGCCAAAGGTTCCTCACCCAATAACTTTATTAGGATAAAATTTATGACTCATTGGGATACTATAAGACTCAGCTTTTTGAATCTCCAACAAACTTGTGGAGGTAGGGGACCATAGTCATATCTAAACCAAGGGGAATAGCAGATAGTTAGATGGCCAGTGCTCAGGACTGGTGCTCTGGAGACCTGGATTCCGTGCTGGCTCTGCCTTCACACAGCTGTGTGATCTTGGGCAAGTCACTTAACCTCTCTGGGCTACACAATCTGTGTTGGACAAAGGGAAGATAGGACTAGATCAGAGGTTTTCAATGATGAGTAGCCAGAGCTCCAATATGTAAAGCTGATGGAGGTGAAGTGTCAGTTGCTTCACTCCACCCACAATAACCTCCAGGTCCCTGGAGCAAAAGACCTCTGAATTCCTTCAAGCTCTTTCTGTAGGCAGGTGTGGCTCAGTGGTTGAGCGTCGACCTAGGAACCGGGAGGTCACAGTTCGATTCCTGGTGGGGATGTGCGTGTGTGTGTGTGTGTGTGGTGGGGGGGTGGCCGATTGATAATTCTCTCTCATCGTTCATGTTTCTCTTTCCCTCTCCCTTTTTCTCTCTGAGATCAAAGAGAGAGAGAGAGAGAGAGAGAGAGAGAGAGAGAACAAAATCCAGACCACACTCCTGGTCTCTCTCTCTCGAGTCCTGTGATCCCAGGTCTATTTGTGAGAGAAGAGTAATTGGTTTTAGCTGAGAACCCCAAAGCTTTCCTAACTTTACATAAAATCCATGACTGTCAATATACTCATCCTCATTTATTTGTATGCAAAAGTATTTAATAGGTACTGACTGTGGCTAAGAACTTTTGCTAATTACCCTAAAGACACAAAAAGAAATCGGGTGTTCTACCCTCTTTTAAAATTTATGACTTTTTTTCTTATAAAAGCCCCAGACACTTTGTAAATGTTAGGTTTTTCATTTTAATGTTAATAATAAAGAATATCCCATCAGTTTTACGGTTGTTTTCATGTATCCTCCTATTTTCTACCACACCCCTCGCCAGCACCGGTGAGAAGAGGATGAGAAAGTGTTAATCATAAATTCCACAAGTTCGGGTACCTGCCAATGAAAACAGTGTGCAAAGTCTGATTGGCTGGGATGCATGTGTTAAAAGTGATTATGGGTTTGGGTGGGCTGTGCTCATAGGAATGCAGTGGTTATTTCACCTCCCCACATCCCATGTTGTCCTTGTTTTATAATATTTTGTTCATATTTAATATCTAAAATATTAGCGGCATCTTTGCTTGTCCTTAACCCACTGAATCTATTCTGTTTCCCTCTTTTCACTACCCTAGGATAAAAGAGGAAGGTTTGCAGACCTGTTGGATGCTAAATATTTGCGGACCACGTTACAGATCTGGGTCATATGGTAGGAATGTAGTTACTTCAGCCCTGGCTGATGGCTCATTGGTTGCAGTATCTTCTTGTGCACCAAAGGTTGCAGGTTCGATTCCTGGTCAGGGCACATATAGAAGACAACCAACCAATGTTTCTTTCTCTCTCTCTCTCTCTCTCTCAAAAAAAGTCAATTAAAAAACCTATCATAGGTTGAGGATTTTAAAAAGGTAATTACAGTGGGGCCTTGACTTACGAGTTTAATTCGTTCCGAGACCAAGCTCGTTAAGGAGCTCGTTAACTCAAATTACTCTGTCAACTCCAAGCAAAAAATCAGCTGAGAGACAGCTGGTATCTCAAAAAACTCGTTAGTCGGGACACTCGTAAGTCAAGGCCCCACTGTATATCAAAATGAGTTTTATAGAAAGCCTACTAAAGTAAATCCACTCTGAATGCTACTGGGGAGAAAAACACAAGAAAGACCCCAGCAATCTCATCTTTTTACTAATACCACCAACCAAAGAAGTAAGTAAAATAACAATTTAAAAGAAAGAGAGAAAGAAAAGAATCCTAATTGTCCACAGTTTTTTTTATTTTTCATCTCAACATAGGACCTCACTTTCTAACCCTTTGAAGTCTGGTTCACCACTACAAATCCACCTACATGCCAAAATTAAAGACTGTACCAAGTGTTCGGTGGATGTAAGGTAACAGGAACCATTGCATTCACTGCTGATTAGAGTTCAAGTTAGTACAACCACTTTGGAAAACTGTTTGGAAAAATCTATCACAGTTGAAAATATGCATATCCTATGGCTCAGCAATTCCCTTCCTAGGCTTATACCCAACAGAAGTGCATACATACATTCACCAAAAGACATTTACATGAATGTCCATCGCATTCTTTTATTTGTCACACGCCCAAACTACAAACAACCCACATGTCCATCAACGACATAATGGGTAAATTGTGTTAGATTCATAAAGTGAAAGACTGTACAGTAATGAAGATGAGAAAACCAGGAGTCAACACTCGACACAGCTGAATCTCACAAAGTAATAACGAGCAAAGGAAGCCAGATGCCCATAATGCCTATGCCGTGATCCCACTTATTTAAAGATAGAAAATAGGCAAAACGAATCTTTAGGATTTGAATTCAGGAAAATGGTCGTCTAGCTGCCTTCTTCTGATATAATCATTATTAATAGGTTGATATGTCTCCCCTTGACACTTTAAAATTCTTAAAATACTGTTAATATTTAGAAATCAGCCAAATTAAAGCGACAGACTTTAATAACAAGGGGAGACATTTTGACTGTTTTCTTTTTAAATATTGAATTATGAAAATTTCCAAACACACGTGTAAGTAGAGAGGATACCAGGATGAACTTGGATTCGCTCATCACCCAGATCTGACGGTCATGGATATTCACCCTTATTAGCCTCAGCTACATTCTCCTGTGCTGAAGTGTTTCCAAGCAAGCCCCAGGCTTCTGACATTTCATCCCCAGATATGTCATTAAGGCTCAACTACTTGAGGGCATTTTCTTAGATGACTGCAATCCTATAATCACACTGACAAGAGTAATGATCTTCAGGTTACTATCATCCAATACCCAGAACATACATGGTTTCCTCTGATTGTCGCCACGTGTTTTTTTCAGCTGGCTTTTGCAACCATTTCTGAAAAACCGGGAGGCTGATTTTTTCTTTTCTTGACTTTGATAGATGAACTTTTCTGTATGTTATTTTTATATCTCATCAAAGACATCTAGTAAAGAATGGGGAGAAAATATAAAGCAAACACAAAAACCATCTGTGGCTCATCATAGCTTGTTAAAGACCCTTAGTAATAGGCAGAATTCTAAAGTGACCCCAGGATGACCCCAACTCCTGTGACGCAATCAAACTCTAATTCGGGTGCTGATGTGAAGGGGCTGTGAAGATGTAATTAAGATCACGGGCCTTAACACAGGGAGATGATTCGGATTCGGCAGGTGGGCCCCATCGAATCACTTGCGTCCTTAAAAGTAGAGAAGTTTCTCCAGCTGGGCAGAGAGCTGGAGAAGAGAAAACAGAAGAGGCGGGAGGAGAGGACAGAGAGACTCGAAGCATGAGAAGGTCTCGGCCCCATGCTGCTGGCTTTGAAGACAGGGAGTGAGGGAAGCAGGTAGAAGCTGAGAACAACTGGTCCACAGCCAGCGAGGAAACAGGTATGAGTTCTCCGGCCCCACGGGGCTGAATTCTGCCAACCGTCTGGGTGAGCTTGGAAAATGGATTCTCCCCCGAGAAAGGCCTAGGACCCGCCTACACTTGCACGTTTGCCTCTGAGACTTGGAGCAGAGCGTGAGCCAGACCCATAGCGCTTCTGACCTCCAGAACTGCGAGATGCTGGACGTGTGTTGTTTTAAGCCACAAAGTTATGCTAACTTGTTACAGCAGCGACAGAAAACGAATCTAGGCTTCAAACTCCTTCACCGGGCCTGTGGATCCCGCTAACCCGGCTCCTCCTGCTCTTGCAAATCTGTTTCCCACGGTGTGGCCTCCAACCCCCAGATATGTGAGCCGGGGGGTTTTCCCGGCCCCCCCGCAACCTCCTACCCCCAGCCTTCCACCCGAAGCCCTCTCACGTCTCCCTGCAGCTCTTGGTGGCACCCGCTTTTCTCATGTCCATCTTTTCTCACTTCCAGGCTGGGCATCTCTTTCGCCTACTACGGGGTCATCCTGGCCAGCACCGAGCTGCTGGAGCGGGACCTGGTCTGTGGTTCGAGGTCCGAGTCCGAGGCGATGGTGAGCATGGGGGTCTCAGAGGAGAGCCAGAGCCCCTGCTACTGCCACATGTTTGCCCCCTCCGACTACCGGACCATGATTATCAGCACCGTTGGTGAAATTGCCCGTAAGTGTCTCTATGTATCGAGCCTCTCTCTGTTTCGGGTCAGGGACAGGCAACTCAGCCCAGAGGGGAGAAGTGTGACCCTCCGTAGACGTGGCTCCTGCCTGGCAGAACTGAGCATGATTCTGGATCGTGGGACCCCGCTGACAGCCGCCCGCCCGTGTGGTTCGGGGTGGGGAAAAGTCTGGAGGAGCCGAGCATTGAATTACGAAATCCTGTCCATTTTAAGATGTATTTTTTTCTTCACATTTAAAAAATGTTTTTTTAATTGATTTCAGAGAAGGGAGAGAGAGAAACATCAGTGATGAGAGAGAATCACTGATTGGTTGCCTCTTGCACACCACGCACAGGGCAGATGAGCCCAAACCTGGCCATGTGCCCTGACTGGGAATTGAACCATGACCTCCTGGTTCATAGGTCGACCACTAAGCCATGCCGGCCAGGCTTTCTTCACATTTTAACCTCTCTGAAATTGGGATGCATCTTACAATGGCGTGTTAGATTTTAATTTGCAGTACTGTTTCTGTCTTAGTAGACATAAAATAATGGTAATAACGGTACTTAAATTTCAATGACACCTTGAATTTGATGAAAAACAGTATACCTTTAAAATATAGGCCTAGCAAGTAGGCAGTTTACAACAAACCTACATGGTAAGCACCCTGGACATGAAAAAATCCTTGATACACACCAGTGCTTGTCATTCGTGGACCCACGTGGGGAAAGTATGTTGAAGGCTGATGACAGTGTGAGGGTCTCGGCTGGAATACGCACACGATTTGTGAAGCTGCTGCTTCCTGAAATGAGGAGGAGGAACCCATGCCGCCCGCCCAAGGTTCCAGAAATGGTCTTTGTCATTTGCTTTCTAGTGAATCCTCTGAACATCCTGGGCATTAATTTCCTGGGCAGACGGCTGAGCCTGTCTATCACCATGGGCTGCACAGCTTTATTCTTCCTTCTCCTCAATATTTGCACTTCAAGGTATTTTCTCTCTGGTTGCTTCAAAGTAATCGAGTTTTGTGCAGTGGTTTTAAGATGGAATCTTCTAACCCAGTGGTCAGCAAACTGCGGCTCGGCAAACCGCAGCTTGCAAGCCACATGCGGCTCTTTGGCCCCTTCAGTATGGCTCTTCCACAAAATACCGGCTCTTCCACAAAATACCGACTTCTGCCAATGGGCCACGAAGTTTCAATCGCACTGTACGTGCGCGTCCGCATGTGGTATTTTGTGGAAGAGCCACACTCAAGGGGCCAAAGAGCCGCATGTGGCTCGTGAGCCGCAGTTTGCCGACCACGGTTCTAACCCATAGTGTTCATTGGGAGGTCAGGGTCAAGTCTCTTTTCACTCACCAACATATTTAGGATCTTTATACCAAGCTTCCTGGAGAAAGGGGACTCTCGTTGTTAACAAATTATCCTGACTATAAGTCAAGATAGTTTAGTCATATATAACATAACATAAAACAACACATACCTGTGGTGTGAAAATTCATTTAACTTTTAATTTGCCGCCCCAGAGTGGCCTCAGTTATAATATAAACCACTTACTCTGCAAACTATCTTCACCATTTTGGGGGAGTGGGGGCCAGGCTAGAATGGCACACTTCAGGGAGTGGAGAGGTCAGGGAGCAGGATTGAAGGTTCAAGTTGGGCATCTGCTTTAGGACCCCTCATCGGGCAGCTGGTCATCTGTGGGTGGGTGAGGGCATCTGTAACACACTTGGTCGGGGCCATGGAAGACACTGCACGTTGCCTTTGGTAACCTTTCTCTTGCCTCCTGTTCCCTAGTGCCGGCCTCATCGGCTTCCTCTTTATGCTGAGGGCTTTGGTGGCTGCCAACTTCAACACCATCTACATTTACACCGCTGAGGTTAGTTTGGGGAAGGGTTGGTTTCTTCAGGGGGTTTAAGCTGCGCTACTGAGAAAGGATGTCCATCCATAGGTAACGCATCCCTGGCTTCTGTTGATTTTTGATGATTTTCTTAAAAATCCCATTACAATGCCGAAAGGTTGATTTGATAGGGAGTTTCCCCTGCTCCCTGAGTCTAGTGCAAGCCAGTGTCTGAGAAGAAAGATAGGACCTCCTCCCTTCTCCCTAGACAGCATTCATATAAGACACAACCCCCTGGCCTAGCACCGTGCTTTCAGAGAATAGGGCCCTAGCTGCATGTTGCTGTTAAAATGTAGAACTCCCGATTTCCCTCTCTTTTTGAAACTGGGATGTATTTTTCACCTTTATTCCTTTGAAAGGTCACACCCCCTTCATCTGTCATTTGCTGCATGTAGCTTATATTGAAATTCAATAGTAATATAGTCTTTCTGAATTTACTGAATTGATACACCTACTATATGCAAGGCCCTGCCTGAGGGAGCTAGAGGCTCCTCTCATTAACCCTCACTTTAAAGAGCTAATATCCCTAGAAAGGAGCAGTTTCTGGGGAGGAAACTTAGTACTTTACTGGTTTTGTCCTTCAGTGAGCTGGAGAAAGTGCTGTCGGGACTGGTAAACTGCCTTTGTCGCCGTTCCTGGAAATGTGAATGCTGTTCAGATTACAGACGTGACGTGTCAGACATGAGAGCCACAGGGAAATACTCTCCCCGCCCAGATAAAAATAGGAAATGATGAGATATTTGGCATATACAGACACTTCATTAATTCCATTAACAACATCTTCTAAAATGATTTTGTGAATTTAGAATCAGTGTGTAATATGCTCTGCTTCTAAAGCTATATTTGCAATGTTCAGTTTAACATTTTGGAATGTTTTCATTTAAAGGTCCTTTCTAAGTATTTTTTTTCTGATACTTATTTTAAAAATCATCTATTATTCTATCTCCAAGAATTGTCAAAATCTGAACAAAAGACTTTATTAATATTATATAGAGAAAAAAAATCACCATGTATCCAAATCCGTTATTTTCAGGTCCAGTCGGCAGCCTCATTTTCTAGAAAAAGCAAGCAAGCTCCCCTGGGACCGCCCCCCCCGCCCCCAGCCCGCCTTCTCCTATAAACATAGCAGTGGCCGCTGAGGCAAGAACACATTTCGCATTTCGCTTTTGCACTTGACAGGTGGTGGCTAACAAGACATGGCCTAGTAAAAGGACTGCGTGCTTTGTTTTAATGAAATGAAAAAAACTGTTTTTTGAGTGTTGTATAGTATTGAGAGAAAATTCTCCAGTTTTTAAAAACCACCCTTTTAAATATTCTCCCTATAATCTCATTTGTTACATAACATTTGCTTTCTTATTCAACTTTTGCCCCTTCCTATAAGAATTCTGAATTAATTAAGTACAGTTTAATGAGGTTTTACTATAAATGTAAGAAAGTTGCAGAAAGAAAGTAGATTACGTCATACGATTTTGCAGTGAGAACATAGTGAGGGTGTAGCATGTATCTAGCACTGTCTCTTTTTTAAATATGTTTTTATTTTAGAGAGAGGAAGGAGAGGGAGGGAGGAAAAGAGGGAGAGAGAGAGAAAGAGAGAAACAATGATGAGAGAGAAACATTGATAGACCTCCTCCTGCATGTACCCCAACCGGGGATCGAACCCACAACGTGGGCATGTGCCCTGACTGGGAATCGAACCAGTGACCTTTCAGATGGCACTGTTTCTTTATTTAAGGTTTCATTGAATCGCTACTTGGGAAATATTTTCCTTCAGTAGAACCACCCTTATGCATTTTAGCTCTAAAGTGGAAATCTGTCTGATTCCAGAGCTTGCTTTTTAAAAATTATATTTTGAATATTCAATTAAACATATAGTTTGGCCCTAGCTGGTTTGGCTCAGTAGATAGAGCGTCGGCCTGCAGACTGAAGGGTTCCAGGTTTGATTCTGGTCAAGGGCACATGCCTGGGTTGTGGGCTCGATCCCAGTATGGGGTGTGCAGGAGGCAGCCAATAAATGATTCTCTCTTATCATTGATGTTTCTATCTCTTTCTCCCTCTCCCTTCCTCTCAGAAATCAATAAAAAGACATAAAAAAAATACAGAGTTAGGAATTTGCTCACTTAAAGGATAATTTCTAAGTGCTTATTCTTTTTGTGATAGTTATAAAGTTTAAAAATTCAAAGTAGTGTACCTGAGAAAATGAATGTCTTCTATATCCTATATAGAATATTTGGTATTTAATGTACAGGTGCAGACAAAAGTAGGTTTTCAGTTGTGCGTATGCTAAACTCAGTTTATTCTTGTATTATTAGTTATTAATTATTGTATTATTATTAGTAGTAGTAGTAGTATCCTTACTTATGATTTATCTTTGAGGTAATGAGGGCTGGTAATTTCCCTGCTTTTGCCCACCCCTGTATACACCAAAGCCTGACCTGGGAAGGGAAGGGCAGGCGAGAAGGAAGAGGCCTGGACTAACTGGTGCTCTGTGCTCTCCCTCCAGGTCTACCCCACCACAATGCGCGCTTTGGGGATGGGGACCAGCGGCTCTCTGTGTCGCATTGGAGCAATGGTGGCACCATTTATATCCCAGGTACACCCAGGAGTCTCTGCAGGAGGGTGGGCTTAAGGGAGGTGGGTAAAGAGGGACCAGGTCCCTTTGGGGTAAGGGTGTAACCAGGATTTCTGTTTACTCGAGGAGTTTTCTTGAGATGCAGTTGTTCATTGTTTGGTGAATTTGGATAGGGAAGGAAGCTAAATACTGCCCAAGCTCCCATCAGTCCCATGCAGGTGTTGCATTGTGAGCAGGGTTTGGGTTTTGTTGGTGCTGTTGGGGGAGGATGCCGAAGAAATGGGTGACACTAGGGGCTTGTGCAGATGGATGACAATGAGCTCTACCTGGGGTGCAATTGAACAACAGAGCCGAGGTGCTGGGAGGTGGCCTTGGGCACGGGAGGTCCAGTGCTCAGGCAAATCAGACACAGGCTGGGGCAAATCCAGGGCTGACTTGGACCCGTGGATGGGGCATTGTTTCGGGAGGAAAACAGGCAGATCTGGTGACCTGCGTGGGCCTGGTGCCTCAGAGGGCTAGATGGCTGGTCTCCCTCTGCTCATGCTCTTTTGGCCACAAGAAATGGGAATCCACCTGAGCTGCTGCAACAGAAAAACACAGGAGTGAGGCTGGGCCCTGGAGGGCCTGCTGCAGGCAGGGGGCCGGCAGGAACCCAGGCCCTGCCTCCTCAGGCCTGTCTGGGGCCCGTGGTGGCTCCTCAGGCTTTACACCCGTCTCCCTGGAGACCAGTGTGCTGAGCTGCCTGTGTGTGTGGCCCCACAAATCCAAAGCCTCCAGAAGACAGTGATGCCTCTCTGCATCCCTAGAAAGGGCCTCTCATTGGCCAGGTCTGGTTAACTGTTCATCCTTAAGCTAAATCAGTTATGGCCAAGAGTCTGGGCTATGGACAAAGGCCACGGAAGGTGGTTTGTGATACCGTGATTCTATAACAAGAAAGATGTATTTGGTCTTCATCCTGATTTCTGCCACAGAGCTCCTAAGACCCATGCGATTTCCTAAGTGACCAGAGCCACAAGGACGTCTTGCTATGTTAACGAGGTGACCTTTGGACTGTACCTAAGGGTGGGGACTGGTTGTCAGGAGAACCAACCATGTGATTAGAGGGTTGGGATTTTCAGTCCCACCACCCTGACCTCCGGGGAGGGAAGAGGGGCTGGAGGTTCAGTCTGTGACCAGTGGCCAGGGATTTAGTCCGTCACTCCTGTGTGCTGAAGCCTCGTAAAAACCCCAAAGGGGGAGGGTGTGGGCAGCTTCCAGGTGGACAGAAGTGCCTTTGTTTGAGACCTCGCCTTCTGTGTCTCTTCATCTGGCTTTTGCTTTATACTCTCTAATAACATCCTTTGCTATAAACTGACAATCTAGTAAGCAGACAGGTTTCCTGAGCCATGTGACTTGCTCTAGCACATTAATTGAGCCCAAAGAGGGGTCATGGGAACCTCCGACGCACAGCCAGTTGGTCAGAAGTGCAGGAAGGACCAGGACTGTGACTGGCACCTGAAGTGGGGGCAGCCTTGCGGGACGGAGCCCTCCACTGGGGGACCTGATGCCCCCTCCAGGGAGGTAGTGTCAGAACTGAGTTGCTTGGTGGTGTGGAAGAAAACCCCCGCTGCACATGGTAATGGGGTGCAGAACCCAAAATAGGGGTGCAGTTTTCAGACAAAAGGTGTTGTCTGGGTTTGGGGTGGGAGGAGCTCCTCAGACAGCAGGGCGTGGTGTCGCTCCTGAACTAATGGGTCAGCCTTCCCTTGGACTTCCCTCCAGCTTCTGTGTGTCAGAATCACCAGGGTAACCAACTTGGTCACATGAACATCCATGACTCCACCCAAAGATTCATTCTGTATATAGCACCATGTACAGAATTTTGTGTTTTTAATAGGTATCCTGAGTGAATCTGAGACAATGGGTCTCTGGCCCACCCTTTGAGAGGCACGAGGCACCACCATCAATAGGGAAGATACCAACTGGGAGACTTGCTTCTAATTTCACTTAATTCTTTGCCTCCTTCTCTTCATCCTTTACCTCCCTCTCCTCTTCGCCTTTCCTTTCTCCTCCTCTATCTTTTCCCTCCTCTTCCTCCTCCTCCTCCTTTTGCCCTGAAACAGACTATTAAACCAAGTATAGTGTTTACATCTTAATTAGTAAAATGTTTACATACTTAGTGACTATATTTATAAATTTTTAAATCTCTTTAAAATGAATGTTTCAAGATGTTTAGTAGTTAAAACTTTAATGGTATAGAATAATAGGAGTTATGGGTTATATAGTCCAAGAAAGTAGAAAAGGGGAGATTTGGTTACAAGTATTAAAGCCTCAACAAATGTAGATGGGACCAGTACAGGCCCCTTACCAGCAGATCAGGCACCGCCTTCCCACTTATTCTGGGAAATGGCAAGAAGTCAGGTGCCTTGCCGGGCATGCCTAGGTTCAGCGGAGTCAGGCCTGCGGGTCCTGCTATAGATGGTTAAGGTCCTTCCTGCATGTATGTATCCTTGGACTTCACCCCAAGTTTTGCATTCTAGGCCCCTCTAGGCATGGCTGCGTAGCTGTGGGGACTATAGGGTCTGGGTAACACAAGTAAGACTGTTTTTCGTGGCCAGGCTTAACAGGGTGCCACATCAAAAGAAACTCAGTCCAGCATCCTATCAAAGCATTGAAAACATTTTAAATCTTCACAAAAGCCTCTTAAAGGGGTGTTCATGGGGAAGTGCATTCGTACCTCCCAGCAAAACCTTTCAGAATTCTCTTTGGCTGCCTCACTCCTGTTGTCACCAATGGTGTGGCAGTTGCACCATCTCCAGTCTCATCCCCTCAATCTCATCACCCCTCAAAGTTCAAACTCTACCAAACGGCGCCTGAACTAGCTCTTCTTTGGCCCCTCCTACAGCCTTCCAGAGCTCTTGGCTGTCTCTTGAGCAGCTCTCTGCTGCTCCTCACTGAAATCATATAGCCTCTCAGGATTCAAAGAAAGCTGGGTACACAGAGTCTCTTTGTTAGGAGTCAGGGTTTCTTCACTTAAGAACCTATTGTGGTGACTCATTCGACAAGCTGTTTTTGGAGGAATCCTCTACAACTTCTAGATGCCCTCATACAGTTTGCCAGTTAGACCACCACAAAGGACTCAATTATAGAATAGAATAGAATTTCTTTTATCTCAGTTCCACATTCAATCAGCACTTCCTGCACACTTACCCTATGCCTGGCATCATTCTAGTTCTATTTATTTGCTAGCATCACGTGGTAATCTGGTTGCTGTCACATTGCAGCTTGAAATTAGCATGGTGGTAGTTGAGACCGACGTACGAAGAGCTGACAACTTATAAAGGGAAAAAGCATTTCAAGTAGGATGACAGCTGATACAAAGACCCAGAGATGGGACAGATATTGGTTGTTCCAGGAATAGGAACTGGCTTTGGTGAGCAAAGTGGAGGGACGTGCAGGGGAGAATGTCCCTTACAGATGTGTTGAGGACTTCGGATATTTTCCCTCAGGAGTAATGGGAAATAATTTAAGGGTTTTAAGTGGGTGAGGGACACAATCAGTTTTGCATTTTAAAAGAATGCTCTGGTTGCTTATATAGATAGTGATTTGGGGGATGGGCAGCAAACAGACAAGGGTGGAACAAGTTTATAATAAGACTCTTAATTTCACATCGCCATGTACTATTCACATGAAAAGGGAGATTTCAGAATTCTAGAAAAACCCTTTCTCTTATAGGGTAAAGATATAGGAAAAGACTATATAAAAATTTTAAATTTCTGCACAGAAAAAAATTTATCATAGATAAGGATGAAAGACAAACCGTAATCTTTCAAGGGTCTCAAAAAAAACTCTAATTGAATCGTCACAGACGAGCTATGATTTTCTTGTCTTATCAAATACCTTTTCTCCAAAAGCATGAAAACCCAGTCCGTCAATGCAGAAGATGGTTCACAGAGCTTCACAAGTTAACGGGAAGGAATGATAACATTCAGTTTCTATTTCCATAAATAGACATAAACTTATTGAGGAACTGTACAGTGATAAACTTGGGAACTAGTTAAAGTGGTTAGGATAACTTTTGATCAGTAAATGTGCTGTCATAGGGAAAAGAGTCCAGTGTGAACTGAATTCAACTTTGATGTGTCCAGAGGTGACTGGTGTTTTAAAGAGAGGATGGGGAACTAGGATGGCAGGATCTGTAGAGTCAGGGAGGTGAGAAATTGCAGAAAGCAGGAAGGGAGCTTGGTCCATGCGAGACCCAGACAGGAGCCGTACGTTCAGGTGTCCCTGGAACAGACAGCAAATTCTTGTGGCAGCCCGAGTCATCTCCAGTAGGCACTTTAAGGGGGGCTAGAGTTATCCTAGGGATGCGGCCTTGAACTATTAGGAACTATGTTAGTGTTTATTCAAGTCTTTATAGACCAGGGTTGAGGCCTAGGTGAGAAGAGGCTCAGAGGAGCCTGGCTAGTGTTAGGTCGCCGAAGGGGGAACGCATGAGGCCAGAATGGTGAGGGATCACGAATTTATTCGATCATAAGCACGCCAGGTTGCTGAGCCTGGATGGCTCCAGCACCCAGTGATGGGAGTCAGCGGTGTTTATAGGACTTTTGGCGGGCTTTTTCTGGGCGGGGAATTCTCTGTGCAGGTCTGAAGCGGAGAGATAATGGAATGTGGTCTCAGCAAGTAAAGTGTAGTCTCAGCAAAAGGGAATGTCCATAGTGAAATGCCCTGGAAAGTCAGTTCCTGGGGGGAGGGGTATCGATTCAATTGCTTGATCAAACCTAACAGCTAGGAGTCTTTGCCAATGTCAAGTGTGGTTCATAAATATGTTTGTGTTTATTGTATTTTCCGTGACTTAAGAGATTTCCAAAGGCAATTTTTTTCTACCATGCTGAAAACAAATAATTAAAACTAAAATGAAAATTTCACTACCTAATATTTTACTAGAGATAACAAATACAAATATTTTAATGAAGCTCTTTCAATATATTTAAGTACTAGTGCCCCGGTGCACGGATTTGTGCACATTGAAAGGAAATTAA